CCATCAAAAAATATGTCTTCCTTAAGGTAATTATTATAATTAAATTTACAAATAAAATAATAAATATATGGAAAACTCAGAAAAGAACTAGTCTTTACATTTATTTCTTTAATGAATCAAATATTTGTTTTTAAACAGTTACCCCTAACAAGTCATTTTTTTTGTTGTTGTTGGCACAAAAGCTGCCTCCAGAATTGGAGAATTGGAGGAAAAACTGACATCAGAATTCACCTCGACCTGTACTGTGTCACAAAGAAAGTAGCAACGTATATTGTTGCCCATCAACTCTTTCACTGTTCAGGTTAGAATTCTTCAAAGCTCTTCAAATGAGTAATTCAATCCCCTGGAACACCACTTCCTCACCCTCTACCTCCACACACGCAACTCCTTATGCCTACTAGTTTAGGATCCTACTAGCTTAGGATGTAGCTCATAACATTCCCTGAACCCAAGTTGAAGTCAGTTTCCACCCCCCATTCCCACCAAGTACACTCTCAGCACACTTACACAATTATAATTGCATGTTTATGAGATTATTTGATGGATATTCAGCTCCACCCTAGATTGTAAAGACCCCTGAGGACAGGGACATGTTGATGTTGTTCTCTGCCAAGTCCAGAGCGTTAGCACATGTCTGGAATGTAGCCAGTGCTTAATAAACGTTTGCAGGATGAAGGAAGTGATGAGCAATGGTGAGGGCAGATAGCCCCTCTTTGGTGGAAAATGCCCATTAATATGTGTACTATTAGAAGGACCCAGTTCTTCACCTCCTACTACAGACACCAAAAGTGGGGAAAAGGGACCTCCCTCCTCCTACTCCCCCCAGCAGCTGGGACACAGCAGGTAACCTACGGCAGACAATCAGATGCTTCCATCTAGAATATCACTTTCTGACTGGTGATTCAAAGTGGCAGGAATGGTTGAGACGTTACTGATAGCAGTACACAGACAGCCCAGCAGCTACAGAACTAGGTGCCCAGCACCACAGATGTCCAGTGGCTGTGGTTATGGTGTTGTCTGTGGAGTTGTTCCAACCAGATGGTTGGCTGTGGCTCCAACTCCCTGGCTGCCCTGGGCTCTGGCTTGTTTTAAAAGCCAGGTTCTACAATGATTCTGTAAATTACATGTTATTGTTTCAGAACATTTCTTCCCTCCTTAAGCTAGACAGACCGGGTTTTCTGTTACTTACCATCAAAGACCTTGAGTCACACACACAGAGGAGAAAAAAGAATAATAAATCATGGAGCTCAGAAGCATGAAGTGACACCATCTCTGTAAGACATAGAGTATTTCTGTATTTGGCAAGCATGTGGGTGCTAAAGCAGGGGGCTTCTTTTTAGGTGGGAAATCAAATGCTATTCAGGTTATGACCACTGATTGTGACTAAAACAGTTGTGAAATATGGAATAAATGCACAATTTCCTAAGTGTGGAAACCAAGTATGATGTGAGATTATTTTAGGTGGAATGCCCACATGGCATTAAATAATATTGAATAACAGTGAAAAAGTGATTCCTTTTTCCATGGTTTTTCAATTCTTCTGATACCACCAAGGACAGCATGTTGAATTGGTACCTCTTGAATATTTCTCTAACACTTACACTCTTCCCTTCCTTTAAAATTTAATTTAAATTTAATTTTTTTAAATTTTAATTTATTTATTTTGAGAGAGCGAAAGCAGCAAGAGCAGGGGAGACGCAGAGAGAGAGAGAGAGAGAGAGAGAGGGAGAATCCTAAGCAGGCTCTGCACAGTCAGTGCATGGAGCCTAACCTCATGAACTAGAAGATCATGACCTGAGCCAAAATCAACAGTCAGATGCTTAATCAACTGAGCCACCCAGGTGCCCCTATCCGTTTTCCCTTTTAACAAGGGAAAGTCAGCCTCAGGCTTAGAGCATTCACAGGCAATAATCTTGAGCCTAGAATGTAATTATATTTGTGTTTTCAATGTTTTTAGCTTTCTGGGTTACCTCCTAATTACAGCAAGTTATGCTAATTTCCCATTTATAGTCATAATATAAGCTTTCTAAATAAATTTCTTTCAGTTAAAGAAGTGAAATACTTAAAGATACTGAATGTATAATAGCACAGGTGGAACACAGATCTGGCAAAAATCCTGAAGATCAACATCTGTGAGTGTCTTCAGTTTCGAAAATAGTGGGCTAGTCCATCAATTAGAGCCACAGATACAGATGCAGAATGCAAATTAGCAATAATGGAAGCAAAATCCAGAACCTGAAAACAGGAGCTATAACAGCTCCTTCAGAAACATTTCTGAAGGGGGGGATGCCTGGGTGCTTTAGTCAGTTAAGCATCTGGCTCTTGATTTTGGCTCAGGTCATGATTTCATGGTTTGTGGGTTCAAGTCCCACATAGGGCTCTGCACTGACAGTGCTCCTCCTCTCTCTCTCTCTCTCTCTCCTCTCTCTGCCCCTTTGCTGCTCTCGTTCTCTCTGTTTCAAAATAAATAAGCTTAAAAAATTAAAAAAAAGAGGGGTGCCTGGGTAGCGCAGTCGGTTAAGCGTCCGACTTCAGCCAGGTCACGATCTCACGGTCCGGGAGTTCGAGCCCCGCGTCGGGCTCTGGGCTTATGGCTCAGAGCCTGGAGCCTGCTTCCGATTCTGTGTCTCCCTATCTCTCTGCCCCTCCCCCGTTCATGCTCTGTCTCTCTCTGTCCCAAAAATAAATAAACGTTGAAAAAAAAATTAAAAAAAAGAAACATTTCTGAAGGCATATAAGTGTGTGATGGACAAACCTTCACTCCACTGGAGTTGAAGGAAGTTGGAGGGGGTGAGGTAGTGATTGTCACCATCATGAACCTGAAAGTGAATAGGTCAAAGGACAAGGCAAGGTAAGGTGGCACTTTCTTGCAGAAGAATCCACACAAATCCAAAATGAAAATCAAACCCCACCCTCATTCAAAGAAGGGGTAGTCCTCTTGCGCACACAGGTAGCAAATGGCAATTCTCTGAATGAGAGTAATGGGTCCATCTTGCTATCCTTGGTTCTGAGGTGATATGATCTATAATTATATGCCAACATTAAAGTTTTTCATTTTATTCTGCTGGATTCATTTAATTTCCCTTAAATCAGTATTCTCAATCAGGAGGAGCATTTTTTTTTCAAACTACCTGCATGTCAAAGATTCTAGAATGTTCCACTGGGGAGTGGGAATATCAGCTCTCCCTTACTTCCTACCTAGTTAGAATCACTGTTATAATAAGAGTGAATCATGCTGTCTTAGATGGGGGAAGTAGAGAAGATTCAGAACCACCGTTTCAGTGGAAGTCACAAACAGTGAAACTGTCTCCCATCCATCTACTGAACCACACGGCAAGTGTATGGGTAATGCAGAAAGGGACAGTCTTGTTTACTTTTCAGCACCATAATACATGGATAGAGACTAAGGCTTAGGAAAAAATGCTCTCAGCACCATAATAATTTGTAAAACAGCCAGCCATGGTTACACAGCATCTAGATTCAGAAAAATGGTTGCCACCCAGAACAGGGTTTAAGGTCTGTTTTGTTTCAGCAGGAAATGCCTACTATAACACAGACACAGTCTTTCTTTTCCTCCCTCCCTCCCATTCTTTCTTTTTCCTTTCCCTCCTTCTTTCTGTTCCTTTTTCTTCCCCTGCCCAACTCTTACTTTTCTAAGTTCTTACACATTTTTCTCTCCTTTCTATTTTTTTTCAAGACCATATTGGAGAAAAGCTGGCAGGGTTAGACCTGCTTTCATCTAAGGGCAGGGGGCTTAAGAGTGCAGCGGAGCTATTTCAAATCTTGGCACCACAACTGATTAACTGCATGACATTGAACAAGTGGCCTTGCTTTTTGTGCCTCAGTTTCCCCATCTATAAAACGAGAATAGTAAAATTACCTACTCAGTTGGATTTTGTGAGGAGTCAATTGGTGAGTTTGTGTAAAGTGCTGAGGACAGGAGTAAGCACAATAAAATGGTTAGCTTTACATATTTGACTTCTCTCATAAGCTTTCCTTTGACAAGAGTTCTACTGCCCTCCCCTCCCCGCCAAGATTTGAAAATCACTTTGCTACTGTTGCAGATGGCTGTGGCCACTGTCTAAACTGGCATGCCTTTTCACCCACACTCTTCATCACTGTCTCTTCTCAGAATAACTTCGTTCTTCAGCACACCATCCCTCCCCTACCCCTACTCCCATTGTTTTCAAGGTCAGATTCTCCCTGCTACTGTTTTTATCAAGTTCTTACTCTTTGTGATCCAGCGAATCCCCTCACTTGCATCATCAGACATCGGAAAGCACCTAACTGACGCCCCTCTTTTACTCAGAGGTAAACTTGGGTCTTCCCAAATAAATGACCTCCCCTATTTTCCCAGCTGGTGAGAGGGGCATGAAGAGAACGGTCTCCTGACTCTTAGTCCCTTGCCTTCCTCCAACATTATCCTTTCTCCTCGATATTTGGTGGAACTGTAAACCGATGGCTCCAAGTTCCCCTCCACTGTCAGAGCCATGTTTCTCTCCCATGACTTGAAATTCTACCCCCTTCAAAACTGTCTCTAAAGAAGTGGTGGACGGACAACATCTGAGGCTTGCATATTCATTGGCTCACTTACTCAACAAGCTTTTGCTTGCGCACCAGAAGAGTTCCAGGCCATATGCCAGGTGTGGGGAATTCAGAGTTGAAAGACAGGGTCTCTGTGCTAGAGGTCAACTCTTGAGTTGCTATTAGTGTTGTTAATATCTGAAGTGAAAGATTCAGCCAGGCCTGGGCAAAGTGAAGAGCAGCTCTTGAGAAAGGGCAGCTCACGCTTGCATCTTGCACCAGGGTTTTAGCTTTTCCCGTGTTTTGAGTAACTAGGATGGCAGCAATCCCAGGTTTGGGCAGTTGCGTTTTTACTGCACACACACACACACACACAGCCCTTTGGCTTACTCTCACGCTCTTTTTGTGCACTTCTGGCCATCTTTGCAGCTGTCCCTGGCCTCTCGATGCTCCCCTCTCCTCTCCCAGGTACTCACAGAGTCTGCGTGCTGGGCGGTAGGCTGGGGATACGGTGAATATCCTTGCAGGTGACTCTGAAGTCATCTTCCTGGTGACACTCGCAGGGTGGAGATGGACACCCTTTCCCCCCCAGGTTCCTGGGCAGGGAGAGAAGTAACGCCAGCTGCAGCAGGGGCGTCTGCCTCATCTTCCAAGGGTCCCAAGGCTAGTTCTTCATCCTCCACTGACGTCTCGTTCCCGGCCCTCTGCGCCTTGGGCTCCCGCGGTCTGGAAGGCAGACGGAGGCGTGGGAGGAGAGAGGACTCGCTGGGGTTGTGACTTCAGCACCCAAGAGGAGGCTGGAGAGGGGAAAGAAGAGGCTCTTAAGTGTTCGGTTTCCCTAGGCAACTCTCCACCCAAACAAGCCTAATTGCTTCACTCCCATCCCCGGAGCTACGCAGCCCGCTCCGTCGGTTCCCCGACACTCAACACCAGTCCGGGCTGTCCCTTCTGCGTTCCAGCCGAGTTCTCTCCAAAGACTAGTTTAGAAGCTGCCTTGTCTCTAAACCCAGTGGGCCGCTTTCCCCGTGGGTAGCCTCCCACGGGCACCGCCTGCCGGGTCCACCGCACGCACTCTAGCCGGAGAAAGTCCCCGCGGCTGGACTGTCTCGGGGCGGACGGGGGTCCTGCAGAGCTTCAGCTTCTCCCCGCCTAAGATGCCTCTGCGGAGAGTCGGCGGCGGACACGCGTCGGTGGCCACCCGGAGTGCGGCTGCAGCCGGGCGCGACACCCCGGGCAGATCGTCGTTGCCCGCCGACTTCCGCGCAGGGCGCGACCCGCCACACGCACCGAAACCTGGGCGCGGAGTCGCCTGGCCGCGCGGGGCTCTCCAGGCAGCAGCGCGCTCTGCGAAGCGGGCCAGGAACTGCGCTCGGGGGCCATCTTCCGTGCACAACGGGGAACTGCAGGAACAGTGTCGTGCGTGCTCTGATCCCAACTCCGAATCCAGCTTTGCCATTAGATTTGAAGCTGGCCGGTCAATCCTGGTCTGCTCAGGAATTTTATTGAACCACATTCCGCACCACCACCACCCCCAAGATGGGAAGAAAAAGGATACATAAGTTATCTTCTACTCATCATTCTTCGCACAGTAGCCAAAACGATAGTTTAAAATATAAATCAGATTGTCCCAATTTCCCTCTTAAAAGCCTTCGCTTGCTTATGTATTCTTCTTGGAGTAAAGAGAATATGAGCTCCTCACATACTGTGAGATTCTATTTATATGTTCTTCTGGGACAAGGACAGGTAATGGAAATCCAAATAACGATTAGAGATTGACTAGGAAAAAAAATAGGAATGAACTCACAGGGGTTATGGGAATGTTCTATATCTTAATTAAACTGGAGGTTAAAAGGATGTGTACATTTGTTAAAAGTCATTGCACTCTACATTTAAAATATGTGTATTTCAAAGTTTATAGGCTTTTATTAATAATCACCCCATAATGGAAACACCCCAAAATTCCTTTGACTAGGTAATGGGTGAACAGTGACACATCCGTACCATGGAATACTCATCCACAGAAAGAAAGAAGAAAGAAAGAAAGAAAGAAAGAAAGAAAGAAAGAGATTACTTGTAAATTCTTTAGCCTAACCAATAAGGTCCTACTATAGGGGCTGGTAGGCTTTTCCTATAAAGAACCATACAGTAAATATTTTATCACATTTTCTCCTCTTCTTTTTTCATACAACCCTCTACAAATATAAGAGCCATTCTTAGCTTGTAGGCTGTACCAAAGTAGGCCTGGGGCAGGCTTTGACCTGAAAGCCAAAGTTTGCTGATCCCTGCCTTTCAAGGGCCACCCCCTACCATCACTTTGCTGGACCTGGGACAAGTTTCTTATCACCTCTGGGATTTGCTGTCGCTGGACCTCTATGCTGGAACATGTCCCCAGATCTTCAGAGTATTTAAATCTTGCTTTAAACACCAATGCCTTGGGGCGCCTGGGTGGCGCAGTCGGTTAAGCGTCCGACTTCAGCCAGGTCACGATCTCGCGGTCCCGCATCGGGCTCTGGGCTGATGGCTCAGAGCCTGGAGCCTGTTTCCGATTCTGTGTCTCCATCTCTCTCTGCCCCTCCCCCGTTCATGCTCTGTCTCTCTCTGTCCCAAAAATAAATAAAACGTTGAAAAAAAATTAAAAAAAAAAAATAAACACCAATGCCTCAGAAAGTTTTCCTCTGAAAATCCTGTCTAAAGTACTGTCTCCCCTGATCATATTATCTTGTTTCACTGTCACTTATCATGGGGTGTTGTTATTGATTAGTTCACTCATTTATTGCCTGTCTCTTTCTGCTCTCCCCTCCCCATCAAAATATAAGCTTTCAGTGAACTAATCAGGACAGAAGCAAAAAAGACACAAATTACCAGTATCAGGTATGAGAGAGTTGATACTAGAACATATTATACAAGCTATGAAGAGGATGATGAGAATGCTATGAACACATTTATGCCAATAATTTTGAATTTATTAATGTTCTCAAAGAAGCATACATTTGTTTCATAATTCTATATTGTTTTTCTATGTTCCATTTAATTGATAAATGCTCTGATCTTTATTGTTTGTTGTTTTTTTTTATTTTTTATTTTTTGCATCCACTGGGTTTGATTTTCCTTCTTAGTTTCTTAAGGCTGAAGGCATTGATTTGAGACTTCTTTCTTTGATAATATTATAGATATATTGTGCTATATTTTCCCTGTAAGTACTAATCTCATAAATTTTGATATCTTGTAAATTTATTTTCATTCAGCTTACAATACTTTCTAATTTTCAAAAATTTCTTCTTTGATTCATGGGTTATTTAGAAGTGTGTTAGTTTCCAAATATTTGGTGATTTTCCAGAAATTGTTCTGTTACTGATTTCTAAAAATATTCCATTTAGAGAAAAAATACAGTTTTTATGACTCAAAAATGTTTAAGTTCAGTGACACTTGTATTATGATTCAGAATGTGGTCTATTTTGATAAATGCTCTGTGTACATTTGGGAAAACAAGTGTATTCTCCTGCTGTTGAGGCATGCATTCTGTAAATATCAATAGGTCATACGGTTGATAATGTTATGTATTTTTTATGATTTTTCTACTTATTATATCAACTACGATTTATGGGTACTGAGTATTTTTTACTACATTGGGGATTTTTCTTTTTTTCTATTGCATTTCTGTCAGTTTTTGCTTCATGTATATTGACATCCTATACATAGATGTTTAGGACTCTTATTTTCTTGGTAAATTGATGCCCATACCATTATTAAATGGGCTTCTTTATTTTGGTAATATCCTTTGTTTTTTAATCTACTTATTGATAGGCCCAATCCAACTTTCTTTTGATTAGCATTACCACGCTATTGTTTTTCAATATGTTATTTTAACCTCTTTATGTCTTTATATTTAAAGTGCATTTCTTACACATACCACAGTTAGGTTTGCTCTCAATCTGGCAATCTCTATCTTTTATTTTGGTTGTATAGATCATTTACATTTGATGTCATTATCGATAATAAGTTTAAGTTCATAATCTTGCTACTAGTCTCATATTTGTTTCACCTGGTTTTGGTTTTGCTCCCCCCCCCCTTTTTTGTAAAAACCTTTTTTGGGATTAATTCAGGAAATTTCATCATTCCATTTTATCTTCTTTGTTGACTCATAGCTATAACTCTTTGTCTAGTTATTATTGTGGTTGTATTAGGGTTTATAGCATACATCTTTAAGCTATTATAGTCTGCCTTCAGTTGATATTACACTACTTTATGTATGATCTAAGTACTTGACTTTCATTTTTTCTCTCCTAGGGCCTTTTTTTGCTTCTGCTGCCAGGAATTTTACCCATGCATAAGTTGCAAGCACTACAATACATTGTTATTTGTAAGATAGTCAATTATGTTTTAAAGAAACTTAAATCATAAGACTTGAGTATTCTGTATAACTACAGAAATTAGCATATTAGATATTCTGTATAACTACAGAGTTATTCTGTATAACTACAGAAATTAGCATTTCTTGTAGTACACATCAGTTAGCTATGAATGATTTCAGCTTTTGTGTGCCTGAAAAAGCATTCATTTTGCCTTTATTTTTCAAGTATATCATTGCTGTGTATAGAATTATCGATTGGTAGTATTTTTCTCTTTCAGTATTCAAAAACTATTGCTCGATTGTTTTGTTGCTTGCACTGTTTCCAAGGAAAATATTCTGTCATAACTTTCTTTGTTCTTTTGTAACACACTTTTTTTTCCCCCTCCCTCAGGCTGCTTTTAAGACTTTCATTATCACTGGTTGAGAGTAATTGGATTACCATGTGCCTTGATGTATTTTTCTTCATATTACTTCTGTAGTATTTTGAGGTTCTTGGATTTGCATGTTTGTGGTTTTCATCAAATTTGAAAAAAAATTTAGATATCATTTCTTCATATTTTTCTATCCCCTATGTCTCTCTGCTCTTTTGAGAGGATTCTAATTATTACACTTCTATTAGGCTGATTAAAGTTGTCTCACAAAGAGGTCAACTGATATTTATTTCATTAGAAATATTTTTTCTCTGTTTTTCATTTTGGATAGTTTCTTTTGCTGTGTCTTCAAATTCAGGATTCTTTTTTCTTCCTGAAATAGTTGATCTGCCACTAATCCTATCAGTATATATTTCATCTCAGGTGAAGTTTTCATATCTAGAATTTCAAATTAAGCCTTTTCCATATTTTGCCTATCTCTGTAACTTCTTGGACATAAAAACCACAGTAACTATTTTGATGTCTGTATTTTTTTAATGCTGTAACAAAGTATCACAAATTCAACGGCTTAAAACAACAGAAAAATATGGGTTCCTGGGTGGCTCAGTCAGTTGAGAGTCAACTCTTGATTTTGCCTCAGGTCATGAACACACAGTTCGTGGGATCAAATCCTGCATAGGGCTCTGTGTTGATAGTGCAGAGCCTGCTTGGGATCTCCTCTCCTCTCTCTCTACCTCTTCCCCACTCATGATCTCTCTCTCCCTCTCACTTAAAATAAATAAATAAACTTAAAAAACATACAACAACAACAGAAAAATAATTCCCTCATAGTTTTGGAGGGGAGAAGTCCAAAATCAAGGTGTTGTCAAGTACATGTTCTATGTGACGTCTCTAGGGGAGTAACTTCCTTCCCTTTTGTAGCCTCTGATGGTCACCAACAGTCCCTGATGTCCATTGGCTTCCATCATTCCAATCTCAAGATGTTTTCTGTGTGTGTCTCTATGATCCAAATTCCCCCTACAAATAAGGGCACCAGTCATTGGACAAGGGTGAGCCCCAATCCAGTATAACCTCAATTTAACTCGAATATATGCAAAGACCCTATTTCTAAATAAGGTCACCTCCACAAGTACCAGGTGTTAAAACTTCAAGATATCTTTCTGGAGGACACAATTCAACCCACAAAAATGTCCTTGTTTGGTAGTTCTAACATTTTTGTTAATTTTGGGTCATTTTAGAAAGGTTGCATTTTCCTTCTTCTTGGCATGCCTGATAATCTTTGTTTGGATAGCAGATGGGGGAAATTTTACTCCTTTTGGTGCTGGATTATTTGCCTTCATATAGTGGTTTTTGATATTTGTTGTCAGGTATGGTTAAATTACTTGGAAGCACCTTGATAGTTTTGGATCTTGCTTTCCAGGTTTGTTACATGGGGCCAGAGTAGCTTTAATCTGTTGCTACATATTCCCCATTCCTGAGCCAAGACTTTTCTGAGTGTCTACCCTAACAGTCCACGAGTAATAAAGCATTTCAGTTCCCTGTTGGGAATAGTCACCCATTCCTGGTCCTGTGTGGCAGTCAGGCACT